TTTTTTTTTTTTTTTTTTTTTTTTTTTTTTTTTGGTATTTATATTGTTGGATGATAATCGTTTAAAATTTGTAGTCTTTAAACTGTAAATATTAAAATGCGTACTCTGGTCTTTGAACTTAGGTTTGCAGCCTTTTTTTTCTCTTGTTTAGAAGAAAAAGAACAAGCCATTTGGCTTACAGAAATTTTGTGCTCATAATATGATAATGATAACCAGGCGAAGTGCACTCGACTGTTTAGCTGTAAAAAAGTATAATTTTTTATACAGTTTTCAAAGGGAATATCAGATGTAACAGTCTGCATCAGAATCTATAAATGGTTGTCAAACTGATGCCAACATTTTATTCGCAGAACAACTGAACTGCTATCAGTGAAAAACTCTTTATATGCCTATCTGCTTTGCTTGTGAAAATGTCTTTAAATTTTTCATGTAAAACATTAAAATTAATAATAACTGTCCGTTTAATTAAAATGAAGAACTGTCTAATTTAGTAAGTTAATTTTAGTTACTTTGTCCCCTCAATGAATAATAATAAAACTGAATAGAAGAAAAATGATGAAGGAAAAAAAAAAAACAGACTCGCGAATGGGATACGGGCCATAAAGAATTGATTGCTGCAATTAATATTAATGGTTTTTCAGAAGAACATTATTAAAAAAAATTTTTTTTGTTTGCTTAAAAGTGGAAAAAATTGATAAAAATATAGCTGTATGGAAAACAGTAAGTAACACAGCAACGAAGATGACCCGAGTTTACAGCTGTTGACACAGGTTAATTGTCTGGACTATTTAAATGAGTAATTTTTGTCCTTGTCCATTTAGGACGGCAATCGTAACAGTTTGAATAACCGATTTTTTGATGAAGCTATAAGCATTTGTTTTCAATTTTATATGATTTGTTTAGAGGAACAGAGAACAATGTATTTAGAAAGCACAAATGTTGTTTTGGTTTGGACAACTGATCGATTTGGTAACCGATACTGATGCTTGTTGAATTGTAAATTTTCATTGTTTTCTAAAAGCAGCTTCTTTTTTTCGCAATAGAAACTAGCGATTGTTTTCAGAAACTACTACCCAATGCAAAAATGAAGAATACTAACCCGTAGATACCCTGTAAAATGGAACGACATTTCAGAAAGGCTATATTACTACCAGTAAAAAGAAAATATTCTTTTCAACTAAAAAATCAAACAGTCCAGTTGCCTTGAATTTGTTGATAAACGAACAAACTATTTTGCTTAGTTTCATTTAGTTGTTAAACGCTTAGTATCAGAGTTTTTTCTCTTTTACTTTTGATCGAAATGAAGATAACGATTTCCTTCTCCAGTGTAATTCCGGCTAGAAGCCCTTGCAATCGCATACCAGATTCTAATTGCACATTTCAGCAGTAGTTTGCAGAAATGAAGATTTTTTGTCTATCATTTAACTGCTAATGTATCAAAGTAATTCTTTGAACAATAACTTTTCTTACTTGTTCATTTATTTTTGCTCAGCCATCTAAACATGGGCTTTGTTTTAGTTTTCACACTTCGTCGCCTTAATGGCAAAAAGGCAACAATCTGCAAATAAATCGATGAGACAATTTATTTTTAAAATCTAAAGATTTTTATGCTGATGATGTCCGCCTGTTCTAAAACCTGAAAAGCTTATTACACACTTTATCTTTATGCTTTGTCGCCTTTTTTTAACCCCGGTGTTGTATGTGTTTTCAGAAACATTGAGACACTGAAGATGGCGTCATGATATCAGATCTCTCCCGTTTAAGCAAAAAGCACAACAGACCCTACAAAAAGGCTCTACTGACTTCTCCACAATGTCGCATAAACTAACAATTTAAACGAAAAAGTCGTACATTGAGTGGTAAACGATCAAATCCAATCCTTGAAAGAAAAATTTTACATACCAGTTAGAAGAGTTTTACGAAGCAATTTGAGAACAAAGATTCAGC